ATATTAACAAGATCTGATTTCCAAATGCATTACAATGCTACAAAAATCAACAACATGGTACTGACAGAAAGACAAACAGGTGAATGGAGTCAAGAAATATACCCACACATCTAAGGACAACTGATTATTTTTATAGAGATGCAAAACTATTCAGAATAGAAAGGAGAGTCTTTTCGACTATAGTGTTGAATCAATCAGATATTCATAAGCAAAAAAAATGGAGAAAAGGACTGTGATCTACACCTCACACTGAATTCACAAATTAATTTAAAAAATTATACTTAGTGCAATACCAAAAACTCTAAATTTGTAGAAGAAAACATAGAAAAAATCATTGCTACCTTCTGTTAGGCAAAAAATACCACACTGAAATCATCATCCCTAAATGGAAAAGTTGGTAAATTGCATTTCACTAAAATAAATAATCTTGTGCACTTAGAAATATACTGTTTTGTAACAAAGACAAGCCAAAGACTGGGTAGAAAATATTGGCAAAGCAAATACTATCAGATAAAGGACTTATGCGCAGATTATATAAAGAATTCTCAAAACTCAACAATAAGAAAATACTACAGTCAACTAATAATTAACAAGACTTGAACAGATACTTCACACACAAAGAAATATGGGATATGACAGCAAATAAACTTAAAAAGATGTTCAAAATCATTAGTCATTAGCAAAATGCAAAATTAAAACAGTGGGATACCAACACACACCTATTCAAATGTTTAAAATTTAAAAGGCTATGCTGGGTGTGGTGGTGCGCACCTGTAATCCCAGGTACTCCAGAGGGCAGAGGCAAGAGGATCACTAGGTTCAGGCCAACCAAAGCAAAATTAGGGAGACCCCACTTCAAAAATAAAACATAAACAAAAGGGCTGGAGGCCTGGCTCAAGTATTAAGAGTGCTTGCCTAGCCCTTGGTTCAATTCTTAGTACCACAAATATAGTGTGCTTATATTAAATAAAAGGGAGAAATGTGAAAGACCAGGAATTCTTGTATGCTCCTAATGGGAATATAAAATGATACAACCACCTCATTAAAATATTATCAAAGTATTTCCCAAAGTTAAATATGTATGTACCAAATGACTCAATAACTCCACTATTGCATATGTACCAGAGAAACAAATTAATATTCATATAAAATACTGTACATGAATATTTGTAATAAACCTATTCATAATCACGCCAAACAAGAAAGAACTCAAATGTCCTACAGAGGGTGAATGGAAAAACCAGCTGTGGCATATCCATACAATGGAATTCAAGTCAGTGAAAAAAAGGAACAAATGATTGGCAACAACCTAGAGGAAGCTCAAAGGCATAGGCTAAGGAAAAGAAATCCATTTCAAAAGGTTATGTACTGTATGTCAAAAAAAAACAAAACTATCAGTGCTCGCCTGGGGTTAGAGGCAAGGGAAAAGTGTGATGATGAACTGTTTGGTATTCTGACTACGGTGGTGATTATATGATCATACACTTGGTAGAATGCATTATGATAGCATAATATATTACATTAACAAAGAACTGCCTACCAAAAAAGTTTATTTTAATGTACAATTAAAAATACTATCAACTCATATGAAAAAATAAATTATTGGAGAATATGGATTGTAGAATCTCTACTTTTCAATTTAAGATTTACTTTGCTGCCAATTCCACCAACGTAAAACTTTTCCATGAGCTTTTAAAGTAATGAGTCCTTTATTCAACAGATTTGTTGCTTGTGTAACAGGAAAGTGTTTCACTTCTTACTAAGCAGTGGAGATGGGCATTCTGAAGGTTTTATCAAAATGCAAAGTCATCTCCTTCCCCACTGTTATTAAGACAGAACACCTCTGGCAGAAATGGCTTGTTTGACTCCTCAGTTTCATCTCCCCAACTCCTTAAAAAAGCTTTTGTAGACAAGGAATCTAGGTTTTATACCTTGATGGGGCCTAAGCTTCAGGACGTCTTTCTGGCTCTGAGCTCTGCAGTTATAGCATCCTCTCTACTTCTTCCTACGTGCAGTATTCTTATATCTTGTACACTGTCGTCAGTGATTCTACCTACTTCATGGCTTGGGATGTTAGCTGTCTTCTAGTCTAGGGTTTGTGTTCTATAGGATTTGTGTTTTACATTTTCCCTTTTTCTTATGTATTTTAGCTAAACTCTCTGGAAACCAAAGAAAATACCATCATAATTTATAGGACCATCATTAAACAAACTCCAACAACTGTTTTAAATTTTTTTGCTTTACCTTGGTGGTACTAGGATTTGTGCTTGCTAGGCAGGTGCTCTTACCATGTAAGCCACTCAGCCAGCCCTTAAAAGTTTTTTGATACAAGAGAGAAATTAAGTGTATCACTATACAACAAAAATGTGCATTTTTTAATATTTTACTGAGCCAAAATACTAATATCTCACAAAACACCAATTTGACAAGACCACTATTGAGCTAATTGTTTTTATTTTTAAAACCCATGTGAGTGTTGATTATAATTGAAAAACAACAGTAATCTGAAGCCTAAATGTAAAGGATACTTTCAAAAAGATACCCATTTAGGGAAAAAAAACCACATTTACATTTATATGTTATATATAGTATGTTAGATATAATTTATATATGATATATTCATATTTTTTCTCATCAGCATGAAAATCTTAGTATTTGTTTTGGCAGAAGACGGAGTAGTTTTAGTATAAAGACAACCCATAATGCATGTCAGTTTACAAGTCCCTATGTTACTGGAGTTAGAAATGAAGGTACTTTTATATAGCACATAGTTCATTCCTTCAGTAAGACTTTAAGCAAGTTTACTTTCCTATCAGTTACTCCTCCTCCACTCTTCACTGTTCATAACCAGGCATGCTCTTAACAAAATTAAGTTCTACTATTAAATGATTTTTTTAAATCAAATAATATTCTGAATCCAAGTTAAAATTGATTTAAATTACTAGTGTTTTAGATGATTCCCTTATGACATACATAAAAGTAACTCTATAAACAGCAATGTCATACAAAAGCTAAGTAATGTCTGACATAATTTATTGAAAATTTGGAGGCAGTATGAGTTCACAAAAATAGAAACAAAAAAGAGCTCTTCCTTACAGAATTCCAAATAATAAATGCAGGCAGAGCAGGACAATGGAGGCTCATGCCTGTAATCCTATCTGAGATCTGGAGGATATTGATCAGAGGCCAGTCTGAATACTTCCTGAAATCACCAAGTTAAAAGAGCTAGAGCAGAAAACTGGAATGCAGGCATGGCTCAAGTGGTAGAGCACCTGTTGTGCAAAGGTGAAGTCCTAAGTTCAAACCCCAGTCACATCAAAACAAAAAAGAAAGAAAGAAAATGCAGGCAGAAAGAGGGCATTTGAAAACATCATTTGGCAACCACAGCTACAATAAAGGATCACATATTGTCCTCATTACCTGTTGCAGGCGAGAATTATCAATGGATGCCAAAAGAAGAGTATAAAAAAAAAAACCAGGATATTTATACAGTCTCAAGGTATCTAGCCACAAGAAATTTATTAGCTATAAAGAGAAAAATAATAACAACTTCACAGTGGAGAAGCCTACTATATCAACTTACAGGACCAAAGTCCCAAATAGATACTATGCACCTCTTTTCACAATGGAATTCTAGCCAAAAATGCGTAACAAGAATGCAAGCATGAGAACATACTGAACAAGCACAAACTGAGGAAATTTCTACAAAATAACTGTCAAGTCATCAATAAACAGACTGAAGAACTGTTCAGATTAAAAGAAACTGAAGAGAAATGTCAGCTAAATTTAGTATTTGACCCGGAACAGGATTCTACAACAGAAAGAACTTTTTCTTTCGCTACATAGGGTACTGATGTGACAATTAATGAAATCTGTCTGTAGACAGAAGAATTATGTCCATGTTCACTTTGGAAATACACAGTAAAGTATTTAGATGATAAAGACACCATGTCTGCAACTTACTCTTAAACAATTCATTAAGAAAGAATTCTGTATTATGTATAGGGAGAGCATAAAGCAAATGTGATAAATATTAACATTTGGGGAATCTGAATAGGATATATAAAAATTCCCTGCTGTTTTTACAACTTATCTCTAAGCCTGAAGTTATTTCATAATGGATAAAAACAAATAAAACCAGTTAAGAGAAAATTTTTACTTTCAAGAACAATAATTCTAAGGTCATCTTTATATTTTACTCAGCAGATCATGAAATTTTAGAATTGGAAGAAAAATGTACATCCCCCCCAACCTCTTTACGTACAGATGAAGACAAGGAAGTAAAATGACTGGTTCAAGATCACGCCTACTGCAAAGCAAAGCCAAAAAAACTACCTACTTCTCACTTGATTCAACTACCTTTTAATGATTCAATAATGTCCCTTGATTCATTACACTGTTGTCACTCCCAAAATATGTGTACTGGAATCTTCTATCTTCTCATATATTCTAATATGCTAGTGTGACAAATCCATTTTCAGGCAATTCAATTTTAAATTTAATTTTAAAAAGCATTTGGGTATAATTGTTCCTAACAATCTTTGGTAACTAATATCAATAAATATGTGGAGTTCAAAATACATGTGAAATATGTATTTTGCAAATGTGAAAAGTGCAAAATCAACACAGTGTACTATCAGATCCATGATGATGACCAAGTTTGCATTATTCATCATTATAGCATCACATCTTAGCACAATGCCTGATACACAATAAATACTCAAATTGCTATTGTCTGTCACAAAATAAGACAATCTACAATACAGAAATTCAAAAACATGTACCAATAATCCTATCAGTGGTATTAAACACTTAAGGATGTTCTTTTGCTGAGTGAGATGTAGGTGGAATTCAGAGATTTAATGATACCATACTGAAGTCTTGAAAAACAGACATGGGAAAGTAAGGTGGTAAGAGCAGGGGAGAGGAAGTTAGACAAAACTTCCCAAAGGCAAGAAAATACATGGCATTGCTACTAAATTTCAAAACTTTAGGCTTACCTATTGTTGCTGCAAGCTCTGGATCAAAAGTATCATCTGTGAACCTCAAGAGTAGGCTAAAAGAGAGTTAAAAAGATATATTAGGAATTCAAATTTTATTGCTAATCATATTATAAATGTGCCCATGTTTGTTACACTTTGTTATAAATTATTTAATGTAGATAAAGCTGATGTAGGTCTGCTCCTAGGACTACTGCCTCCGTGCAGGTACAAGCAGCGGAATTAAATTACTGGAAAAATAATTTTAAAATCCCAAGAGCAAAGCAGTCTACTAATAAATAATAGGTGTACATAACTGCACAAGTGTGAAAAGGTGTTCTGATTTTGTTCGTTTCTAATCTGTGCTGGTATGCCCTTCTGAGAAAATGATTCTGATAACAATGTCATGACGACACAGACATAAAGAGAAAACAGAGTCTCTTGGAATGCACAAACTCACTTTAAAAAAACCTGATGTGTAATCCACTCTGCATTCAAGTAAACAGAAAGGTGTAAAAGCACAGCATTTTGTAACAAGTAGTATGACTATTACCTAAGTGAGAAGATACAGTATAAAGAAAAGGTAAAAAGACAGCACAGGAAGCATACTGTGGCAGGCAAATGCTAGTTATGGTATAAGAACCCAGCTAGGCAATCGAGAATTAGTGAAGGCTTTTAAACAAAGGAATGACAAGAACTGCTCTGTTTTGAAAAAATAATGTCAGCAAAAACTGGAGGAAAAGCAACAAAAGTTAACTGCCATAGTTATGGTGAGAGGGAACAAAGGACTAAAGCTTGAAAATGGTGAAGAAACTAGAAAGGAAAGGATGAAAACAACACATCCCAGATTAGAAGAGTACTCTAAGATTTTTGTCTTCCACCATTATTTCACTTACTACAAGGCAAAAGTGTCAGTTATTAGAAGCTCCTTAAGAACAAAATCTAAGCTTTTATTAAAGCCCTAAATTAAGAAAATTAATCAATCACGTCTCATTAACTCCTATAGTAGACCATTCTATTGACTTGTTTGCATTAATAAAATCAAGGAAATAACTATCAGCTATTTTTTAAAGAGTGAAAAATTTTATGAATATTTAAATCTGTACTTTCTGATTACTACTGCTAGAGACATTTTCTATGCACACAGTATATGACAAAACATAATGGCCTCCTGATAGTTTCCACACCCGGTGTTATTCATTGTATTTAAAGTATTAACTCTCACTTTCTTAGTTTTATATTCTTAGACTTCCAATAAGACAGGCATGTCAAGTTTCTGTAGTATAGTGATTACCACATTCGCCATAAGACAGGCACCACAGAATCAAAGTAAAACAGTACATTCAAATTCCAGATTTTCCTACTTAACGTTAGTTGTTGGTTGGATGGTTGGTTGGTTGGTTTTTGAAATAGGATCGATGTAGTCCAGGCTGGCTTAGTATTCAAGAGCCTCCTCACTCAGCCTCCTGAATAGTTGGGATTACAGAGTGCCAAGTGATAGTACTAAGATCTTAATGACTACTTATAAACATTTTATTTTCTCCAATACTCAGTTACCCATAATTTAGAAAAGGTATCTATCTATACTTGGTCACCACAGAAAATATTATCAAAAACATAGGTTAACATAACTTTGTATAGTAGTAGTAGAACAATACCATTATAATACAAGTAATAATAATGGTATTGACTATTGTTTATTGAACATAATGACCCTGTGCCAGGTACTGAGCGAGGGATTTTTCTCCTTACAACAGACATTGTCATTAATAGTATTTTGTCAGGAAAGACAGGTAATTCTTATGGTGCAAAACAACAAATTTTAATACAAGTTCTGAGTGTAAGTCAGATCTTATCCATGGTTTATTGGTAGCCCAAAATGTACCCATTTTTCTAGGCAGAGAGTCTATTTCTCTATTAGAGTTTGAAAGGAATCCACAGTCCCAAAATGATTAAGAATCACTGTTCTTATATTTTCAAAGTGAAAGTAGCAAAATACTCTCCATGTGAAGCTACAGATGGAAGGAGTTAATTAGCACTATACCACTAGTCTGATCTGACTATTGATCAAAGTTTATAATACAATGTGTGTCTGGCTAACTTGCAGTTCTAAATTTACAAATAAAATTCTCCTAGGAGACAGCAATTTAAATAACAGATTTCTATAATCCCCTCCAGTTCTTGATACACTTTGCTACATTTTTATTCCAGGAGGCTGGGCCACAGAATCACAGTCAACTGTACATTTAACATTAGACAGTGTTTGGGAGCTTTCCTTTCCAGTCCCCTCACTTTTCCAATGAAGGCCTGGACTGTTCAAGCATCACACATAAAGTACACAAGTGCCAACAATCATTTCATAATCCTGACCTCCTGGATACTATCCCAAACCACACTCTTACCAGTATGAAATGAATTGGAGAGAAATCCACTAATTCTGACTACTTAAGATTCCCTTTGTTGTGTAATAATTCCTCAACCACACAACTGCCTTCTCACTTCACTTGCTCTACCTCTGTAAAGAAACTACTGGCTGGAACAACCCTTTACAACCATATGTATGACAAATGTTTTTGTGCTAACTTGCCTAAAAAGACACTGACTTCTACTAGAGTGTGGTCATTTATTCTCGTCTTATTCATGAAGATAAGTGTTCAAGGTTGTTTTCCGTAGTACATCACATAAACAAATATTTGTTTAAAGAAACAGTATTAAAATTTTATAGTGAGCAGTTAATAATTCACCAATAAGTATTGAGAAAATGTTTAAAGCACATTAGGCCCAAATAAGATTGTCTAGGGGAGTGAACAAAAGAGCTGAATAAAGCCACTTAACAGACCTTACTGTAAACAAGGAACTTCCATTATGTATTCCTGTCACTGTAAGGTCAGTTAACCTTCCAGAAAATTTTAACACTCCTTAATTCATCATCTGTCCAATACACTACATGTCACCCAATCATGCAGTTGAAATAACAACTCATTATTTTTAATTCTGAAAACAGCAGTCTTTAAACTGGTCATAGTGGTGCACACCTGTAATCCCAACACTTGGGAAGTTGAGGAGGAGATCACAAGTTTCTGGCCAGCCAAGGCCACGTAGGGGACCCTGTCTCAAAAAAACAAAAAAAGCAAATTCATATGCATTAACTTAAATGTGGAAAAAAAGATGATCATGGAAAGGAAAAAAAGATCATGAGGCTATAGAATTTAAAATAATGCTCAATATATTAACTAACTTAACATTCAAATATGCACAAAATAGTGGTCATAAAATTTTATTCGCCACTACCAAACACACACACATACACAAATGTATTATTTTGATACTCACAATATTTCATTACTTTTTTTCTTGGTATGTGTAAATCTCTATACTATACAAAAAGAACACACTAAATAAGAAAAACTAGGGCCGTACTGTTAAATGTCAAAAAATACATAAAATTTTAGAATTATATAGGAAGCTTGCAAAGCCTAAAAAAACAGTAACTTTGTGATTGAACGAGTTACTTGAATGATACATCTATCAGGAGGTGCAGCCAAAGGTGAGGCTGCTTACAGCTCCTAAAGTCTGAAAACCTTTTAAAGCTGAAGAGGACCTGGAACCAAAGCTAGTCACAATCAGATGGCAGGGATGACTTCACCCAGAGAACACTGTTCAAAGACCTGGATGAAATCATAACCTTCTGGCAACACCCACCTCGCTCCATGTCTCACCCAATGGACAAGTCTAACTGCTGTCAATGTTATTTTCCCCCAGGAACCAGTCAAAAAAAAAAAAAAAAGACAGGCTAAACTGTCCTTTTGTCTGAGGATGATGTGGCAACCTGGGAAGGAACAACCTCACTTTATTTTCAAAAGTGGCACGGCTTAAGCACTCGCACCTTTCACTCTAGTGACTTTTCGAACTGTCAACAAGGCCACTGTTCTTTCACAGCCGACTAATTAAAAACGTAAAAGACGCGACCACAGTCTACGCTGAAACAGGCCAGGAATGTGACCTAAGGCGTCACAGAACTTGCCGCGTAGAACACTACGTATTTAGAGAAAGCCCGAGAGAAACACCGAAAGTGATGAAGTTCCGACTAGGGGTGACAGGCTGCCTGAACCCCGCGGGGCCGCGGTCGCGACTTCGGCCTGTCTCGGCGGAACGCGGCCCGCGCCGCCCGCCAGCCAGCCACGCCCTGTGCCTCGCACAGCGAGCCGACCAGCGCGCAGACCGAGTGGCGGCCTCAGAGCCCTTTATTTCCTAGTGCGACGGCAGGGGCAGCAAGAGACCGCGGGCCTGGCGGCGGCCGCGGGGCCGGAAGGAACAGGCCCAGCCCGCCCGAGTGAGGCCGGCGTCCGGCCGCCGCCGGTTACCGTTCCCGGCGAGGCCCAGCGACACGGCTACCGAAGCAGAAAGCGCCCGCTGCCTCCGCTGCGGCCCGCAGACCTGCCTCACCTGGACTTGCCCACCCCACTCTCGCCGATGATGAGGATCTTCAGAGTGGTCAGCACGTCCTCGTCCATCCTGACTCCCAGCCCAGCCGGCCGCCCCTGTTTCGCCTCTCAAGCCTGTCCCAGGCAGAACAGCTCGCGCATGCGCAGCGTTCCGCGGCTGCCACCTTCCTTTTGCCCCGGGTGTTTAGGTTACCGAAGCCCGGGACTCCAGAGTTCCGCCCGGAGGAAACTCTGCGTCTGCGCACACCAGCGTCCCGGGCGTCTTTCCCGAAAGCGGGTTCCGCCCGTGCGCAAGCGCAGACAGGGGAGAGCCGCTCTGACTGTTCCCCAGCCCTGACACAGCCGGTCTTCCGGTAGCGTAATTGGAGCTGGCTGAGTTGGGGACTGCGTGTGAAGTGCGTTTATTTCTGCAGCTGCTCATGCGCATGACAGCTGAGTCGCAGTGGGGACAGCATTGCACTTTGAAGAGAGTTATCTTACATGTACGTCCAACTCTACCATACACCTGACTTGTCTTATTACCTAGCCTCCTCAGCCTCACTCCCCATCTGAAAGAGTCAATCATTATTCTTCGAATAATACCTCATCTTAGAATTGTTAGGAAGACTGAGTTAACTAAAGTGATCTATGAAAGATATGAACAGGCATTATTAACATCCTGACTTACCCTCTTATTCTGAAAAGTGCCCTTCGCGTGTTAATTCTTCTTGGAAGGGATTTCTGGTATATCAGGTGCGTATATTTCTCTGCCGCAGCTTCCTGCTCATAAGAACTGCTGCGATGAGAGCTGTGTGTGTACCGTTTTCTTCAGTTCATTGCAAATCTTAGCAAGTTAACAAACGTCTTTATAAACCACCTAGCAATGTGTCTGGTGCAAGGCAGGCAGGCACTCAACATTAACCTCGTGTCTTAGTTTCTTATACTTGGAGCGCATGTCATATTTAACCGACATTTGATTAAAGAATACATGTAAATGAAATTTGGAATAAAGTAAGAAATTTGTTAAGTACTTTGTAAAGCTCTTCTATCAGATATCCAATAGTCCTTCGTCTCCGTTAGGTCTTTGCTCAAATGTTCTGTTCTTAATATGACTTTCTTGCCCATACTACTAAAATTTACAAATCCCTCCAGCATTGCCTATACCTGTTTGCATTACTTTTATACATAACACTTTTTTCTGCATGACACTTTACTTACATTTTACTACTAAGCTTCCCCAAAGAGAAGTCCCATCAAGGCAGAATTTTTGTTTGTTTTGTTTACTGGTATAGCCATGGTAACTAGAGTACTTCCAGGAACAGAATATGTGCTAAATAAATATCTGTTCAATTAATTGAATGAATTCAAGTCCATTCCTAATCTTTTTTTTTTTTTTGACTGTACTGGGGTTTGGATTTGGGACATCATGCTTGCTAGGCAGGCACTCTACCACTTGAGCCACCACTCTGCTTGTTTTTTGAGATGGAAACTTGCTAACTTTTTTACCTTGACAGGACTTGAACTGTGATTCTTCTATTTCTGCTTCCTACATAGCTGAGATTATAGGACCTTGATTAATATTTGACTGTTAAACCAGCCTTACATCTCTAGATAAGCCAGTTAGTTTTATTGTATTTTTCTTTTCTGCATATTATTGGATTCAATTTGCCAGCATTTTCTTGAGAAATTGGTATTAATGTTTATAGAGGCTATTGGTCTGTAATTTTCTTTGTCTGAACTATTTTTGCTAACTGTCGTATCTGTGTAATGCTAACCTTGTAAAATGAGTGAAGAAGTGTTCTATTTTCAGGAAGCAAATGGAAGCTACTAGAAGAGAGAAAATAGAAGAGAGAAGTCATCTTAAACTTAAATTTTCCCAAAATATTTGTAAAAATTAACCAACTAAACCTTCTAGGCCTGATGATCTATTTTGTAAAGGTAAATTCCTTTAGCAATTGGGTAGAATTGGTATTATTCCTTTCTTATATGTTTGGTAAAACTTACTGGGAAAACTATTTTAGCCTAGAGATTTCTTTTCCAAAAAAAATTTTAACTAAAAATTATTTAATGTAGTTGCAGGACTATTTGGGTTATCTGTTTAACCTTGAGTCAGTTTTTGGTAGTTTGTGTTTTTTTAAAATTAGCCCAATTCATCTTAACTGTCATTTATGTAAGTGGAGTAGCTTATTATCTTCCTAGTGTGTGCAAGATATGTAGAAGTGTCTTCTGTTTCTTTTCTGATATTAGTAACTTGTGAGTTTAAACTTATTTTCTTTGGCCTTAAACTCTAAACCCTCCTCCCAATACTCCTCCCTCCGAGTACTGGGGTTACAGCTTATGCACAGCAGTGAACATTTTTAGTATTCCATTTTAATTTACCTTTTTAATTGTATATTTTGCATTCTTTTTAATGTTGCTTTAGGGATTATGATATACATGCTTTTCACAGCCTATTTATAATCTGAATTTTACTTATTCAAGTTGAATGTAGAAATCTTACAAACATCAGATCTCTATGACCTCTCCCTTTTATGTTAGTTGTCTTATATATTACCTCTATATTCAATGAAATCCCCTTCAGATACTGTTAAAATTTTCTGCTTTCAAACATATTTAAAGAGCTAAAAAGGGAAATAACAATCTATTGTATTTATTTATCGGGGTAGCTATCCTTTCTGTTCTTCCTCAGTTCATAGTATTCTGGATGTCTTTAGACCATCATAGCTCTTCTGTCTGAAAATTTTCCTCAGCAATTCTTTTCCATTGGGTGTACTAAGAATTAATACTCTGTTTTCCTAATCTAAGAATGTCTTTCACTTTCATTCCTGAAAGATATATTTTTTAAACCAGATATATAATTCTTGGTTAACAATTTTTGTTCTCACCATTTGAAACATGTCTCTGGCCTTCATGGTTTCTGAAGAAAAATTGATTGTTATTTGAATTGGTGTTCCTCTACAGGCAACACACCATTTTTCTCTGGCTGCGTTTGAGATTTTGTTTTGTCTTTAGTTTATATGATACACATATATGTATACATACTGTAGTTTATGATGTAGTTATGCATTAGCTATATTTGTAGTCTATATTATAGTTTATATGATCTACACAGATAATAGATATGTACATTACATGTACATTGCATATGTACATATATTAATATGTATCTGAGACTAGATTTCCTTAAGTTTGACCTATTCAAGTCTCACTGGTTTTTAATAATCTGTTGGTTTGGAGGGGTTGCCAAATTTCAAAACTTTTAGCTGTTTTTTCTTTAGATAGGTTTTGGTATCACTTTTTTCTCCTCTCCTTCTGGGACTCTGATGATAAGATTAGAAATGTTTTTGTCCCATAGGTGCCTGAGTTTGTAGGGTTTTTTTTAATCTTTTTTTCTCTGTTGTTCAAATTGGGTAATTTCTACTGAGCTATCTTCACATGTGCTAGATATCTTCTCTAACATCTGTATTTTGCTGTTAAACTTTTCTAGTGAGTTTTAAATTTCAGTTATTTTGTTTTCAGCTCTAAAAATTGGGCTTTTTTAAGTGTCTTTATAGATCAAGCCAGCTGGCTGGAACCCGCTTCCAGATTTCTTCCTGCTAGCCCATTGTCTAGGTACTGTGTCCTATTCTTCTCTTGTTCTAAGATAATTCTTTGAATAACCTGTTTCTGTACCTAACACTCCTTTTTCCCTGTTCCAAGGAAAACCTGTTATCCTTTAGATCAGGTTCTCCTTGTCAGTAAACTAGACTAAATCTTTCTACTTCTGTTAGTTCAAGTATTTTGTTGATAGAATAATTCCCCTACTTTCTATTTATGTTTTATAGCTACTTTCTCCCTTTATATATTTTGGAAAAAAATATTAAATAATGGAAATAAGAATAAGCCCACATTTTTTCTTGTCCCCTTTTTCTTTTCTTTTTTTGGAAACAGAGGTCTTGCTATGAGCTCATGGGCTCAAGTGATCTTCTTGCCTCAGCCTCCTGAGTAGCAGAGACTACAAGGTACATATAACCAGGCCCAGGTTTCTTGTTCCTAATTTCAATAGAAATATCTATAGAGTTTCACCTATGGTTTATTATATATTGCAATTTATTAATACATGTATTATATCAGTATATTTTGTTATATTATTCTATCCTTAGATACTAATAGATATTGGTAAATTATTCCTTTACATACTGTTCAATTATATGTTATGGCTTTTGTCTGTGAGTTTGCATATATAGATATATTCCTAAATGCACTGTCCCTTAGAGATGATGACATAAAGCAAGCATTGTTCTCTGTAACCATAGATACAGGACACAGGCAAGCCTTTGTGGAAGGAAGGCCTCATTTATGGCAGACACCAATTGTTTCCTATCATCCCAAATCTGTTTCCCCTTCTGCCCTTAGCCTTTCTTGAGACACCTCTCCCTTATGTCATTTCTAGAAAGCTTATCTCCTATGTCATCAATTCCTAGGGGTGGCATATAACCATGTCCCTGTTAGCTCACTCCGCCATAAAAATGATTTTAATCCAAGATGAGCATATGATTCAATGGATTGAAATTTTAGGACTCTTATTAAAGTCGTAGAAAAGAGAAGTCCATTTTACAAGAAATGCCAGGAGGTTAAAACGCAGCCCTATGTTCTCAGTACTAAGGAGCCCTCATGTTATCATGAATAAAGGACCTGAATAACATAGAATCCAGAGAGAAGAAAGTAGTGCCACACGATGAAGACAGACAGCTCCTGACAATACCAGATGACCCTCTGGAGTGAGCCAGATTCATAGTCAGATACTCATAAATCTTTTTTATGATTTGAACCAGTTCTCCTTGTAAAGGAATTCACAACATTTAAACATACACATCTGAACATGATGAATAACATGGTGAACTCCCAGTTTTATCAAAACATAAGACTAGAGCCATGGCTCAAGTGGTAGAGGGCCTACCTTACAAGCATGAGGCCGTGAGTTCTAAACCCAGTACCACAAACAAAACAAAAAGAAGTGTTATGCAACACATGTTTGGTATTTTGGGTGTGAAGCATTAAACACCAAAGACAGATTCTGTGTGCTTCTCTCACCTAGACATAATTATTGCATACATTTAAAAATTCAGTGCTTATTGTGCCCACACACAATGCTAAATTTTTACTTCCTGGTTATGTGTCCTCCATTGTACAGAATTTAGCAGAGG